TCATTTAGCGACACATAAAGTTCGACTTCAATTTGTGTTTCTCCTAAAGTTGACTTTCTAATTGGCCACCACGTGTGTTTCTCCTAAACTGTTGACTTTCTAATTGACTACCACGTGTGTTTCTCCTAAAGTGTTGACTTTCTTATTGACCACCACGTGTGTTTCACCTAAAGTGTTGACTTTCTAATTGACCACCACGTGTGGTACAGCACCTCTATTTACCTCTTAAAATATCGACTTTCTACATCTAAGTTACCACCACGTGTGGTACAGCACCTCTATTTACCTCTTAACATATCGACTTTCTTCATCTAATTTACAACCACGTGTGGTACAGCACCTCTATTTACCTCTTAACATATCGACTTTCTACATCTAAATTACCATCACGTGTGGTACAGCACCTCTATTTACCTCTTAAAATATCGACTTTCTACATCTAAGTTACCACCACGTGTAGTACAGCACCTCTATTTACCTCTTAAAATATCGACTTTCTACATCTAATTTACAACCACGTGTGGTACAGCACCTCTATTTACCTCTTAAAATATCGACAGTCTACATCTAATTTCTCTAAACGGTTTACTGGTTTCAGCTGTTTCCAGAAGTACTTTATGTGTCAGGAATGTGTCTTAGCGTACGGGCAAGTAAAAACAGTAACCAAGGGTGTCGGAACCTTGGAGCTCATAGTTCCGTGAGGCAACTCCCCTTTTTTAAAAACTCAGTTGGAAAAGTGAGAGGTGGGGGTGGGGATGGAAATGAGTTCCGCTCCAGTCCTTCTCTCCACATGCTGAAAGATGGCAAAGTGACTATGTATATCCGTACGTAGAAATTCTCTTTACAAATATCTGTTTATATATTTCATATATTTTTTAAATGTATTATCATATTTATTCAGCAAAGTATAATAATAATAATTATAATACTAATAATAATAATAATAATAATAATAATAATAATAATAATAATAATAATAATAATAATAATAAATATTATTGTTATTATTATTATTATTATTATTATTATTATTATTATTATTATTATTATTATGATTAAAGAGTGTTGCGAATCTTTAACATTATCTTGCAGAACCAACCTCAGCAATTTGTTTGTGGCTGTTTATGATGTTACTAAACAAATTTACGTTCACTAGTTTGCCATTGCCTCTGATAGTTCGACTGTCAATAACACCGTCGAAACCAACGCAAAGTGGTCTGTAGCTTTATTATTACTTTCTCACACTAGCGTTAAGCCCTTTCACCCTCTTGTTTGGAACATTTCAAAGCGGGGAGTACCGAGCACCCGCAATGTTTTCTTAGTTTCGGCGTCGCTGAAAATAACATTAAAAGACAAAGAAAAAGAGAATTATGTGAATGCCAGAGCTTTCTCTTCGAATCTGCGGCTTGAAACCAAAGCATCGCAGAATGCGTTCGTTTACTTTTTTAATGTTTGGTCAGAAGATGCTAAAAATGGCTTCCCAAATGGCAAGTTCCGTTTCTGCATTTTTGTTTACAGCATATGCGCTGTGTATTGTTTTCGTGGGATTGTTTTTTTGATGGGACGGATGAAGATTATTGTTGTACATATGTGATTCCCCAATTTTATCTGAGCACAGCTGTGAAACTTTGGGGTCGGGTAGAGATAGGATAGGGTGTGGGCAGGTATAAAAGGGGGTAGAAATGCGATGGAAATCGGGTCGGGATGGTATTAAATGCAGGATGACAGATTTGAAGTTCTTTCTTTGTTTTGATGCCGCTTATTTCTCTATTGTTACTTTATAATGAATTTCTTGTTATTCTTATTTCATATATAGATTTATTTGCTGACGAGCTCACAGGTGTCCGTTATGTCTAATTGCTTTTAATGGGTCAGTGTTTGTTTCTGGTAGATTATCGTTTTTAATTACACACATTTTATTTCTTTGTTTTTACCTGGATTGATGGGAGTGAATTTAGTTTGGTCATGAAATCGTGGGCTGGGTTATGTGACTGTATGTCAGTGTCACCCTGAGGTCAAACGGAGTGGTGTGAAAGTACAGCTTCCTAGGGTCAAGATAGGGAAGTATGGGGTCACTGTGGACTGAATTTACGGACTTCTTCCTCTTCTTCTTCACTTCCTCTTGTATCGCTTCAAGCGTCGAAGGAAATATGAGGTTTTGTGTTTTGACATTCTGCCCGCCTCGACCTTAGATTCACCGTGCTGTTGTAGAGTTCTATGGTGTAAATGTCCCAACTTGTTCTTGTGCATCTTGTGTGTCTTGTGTGATACGATGTCACAATCTATTCTGCCTAAGTTTGCAAATAATGTTATTTCTGTATTTGTATGCGGTATAGATTTGGTGTCAGCGTCTGTGGCTTAGGCGTTGGGAACGCACTTCGTAATGTCGGGGTGCCGGGTTCGATCCTTGCTGCGGGCCTTGGGCCCTGTGTTGGTTTCGACGGTGGTATCAAGAAGCTGATCGTCCAGAAAGCAATGGCAAACTACTGGACGTACATTTGCCTAGAAAAACCACAACAGCCAAAAAATGCTGGGGGTTGGTTCTGCAACGTCCTGTAAATGATACACTAACTTTAAGATTTGGTTGTGTGCCGATTTTTGTCTCATGGCTTCCCTCCTGATTTTATCTCTTCGGGTTGCTCCTGTTGACTGTCTTAAGCTTTACAGAATGTAGGTGTCAAATTCAAAGCAGATACTAATTTAGAAAAACTCAAGACAGACATCATGTGACAAAATGAAGAATGTTCTATTCCAGTGTTTCCCAAACATTTCTTGGTCGCGGCGCCTTTTTTTTTTCCAATTACAATTTTTACACGGTGCCCTAACCTAAGTAAAATTATGACTATTCGTATGTAAGAGATCAAAATAAAACTCGTGTATCTTTGAATATTTTGCGGCGCCTCTGTGAAGAGGTCGCGGCTCCCCGGAGCGCCGGGGCGTAGTTTGAGAATCACTATTCCATGCAATCTTTGTCAGTTGAGATAGGAAAGATAATTCTTAAAAGCTATATAAATCCTATCTTGATATACGGAAGTCAATCATGGACAGTTGGTAGATTGGTAAAAAAAATTTTTGGAAGCTGCGGAGATGTTGTTTTATGATGGAAATACCACAGATAAAAAGAGTAACGAAGTTGTCTTAAAAGAAACTGACTCACAAATAAAACTGACTGTCCACATGAGAAAGAGATAATCTACATTATTTGGCCATGTGATGAGGAGGAGAAAAATGAAGCGCATCGTGACAGGAGGAAAGTGTGAGAGGAAGAGTAGCAGAGGGAGACCAAGAGAGAACATGCTAGGCTTTTTGACACCATGGCTTAGAATGTCATCTGTGTTAAAACCGAATGGAGAAAGTACACGAGATAGAAGGCGTGGATAGACATGACTGCCAACGCCAGTATGTTATGGGAGATCGTCTGTGTCAGAAACGATTGAAAGTACACGAGATAGAAGGCTGTGGATAGACATGGCTACCAACGCCAGTATGTATGGAAGATCGTCTGTGTCAGAAACGATTGAAAGTACACGAGACAGCTAGATACACGCATTTAGCTTCGACCTAAACAAGACTCTACTTTTCGAAGGTCTGCAACTATCTCATACCTTTTAATAGATCCTCATAATGGACGTTAATCATGGTCACTGGTTTTCGTCGTGGCAAAGTTTTCCATCTGACAAACGGCGGCTGTTGCATTTTCCTCTATTTGCAGACTAAAGTTACAACTTTGTAGTCCAGCTATTGAGTTGAGTGCATGGAAGCGACACTGTGAACTGTGGATTTCATTGGTTATATTTTTTTTACTGTAATAAACGTGGTGCTGCGAATTGTAGAATCAGAAAACGGCGCGTGGTCTCTTGCCACAGAATTAGTGGTGCCTTATAAGATTAAAAATAATCGCTTGTTAAAACTGCTGATCTGCTTGTAGCAGCCGCTTCCGTCAATGACAAACTGCATCTCTAAATCGGACTGCTTGTGTCAGCACTTCTGATGACTGCCTCATGCTTTTAATGCGTGTGTGTGTGCTAGTGGATATGCTGAGATTGCAGTGGGCTCAATCTTTTCATACGGAACGGTGATGGACAATCTGTGTGAGTTTCGTTGGCACATGAGTAGAGCAACTTTAGGGTGACCCGTTTGCTATGAAGCTGAAATTACTATTACCAGATTTATTTTTTATAGTCATATTGACGAAATTGTAATTTTTCAGTATTCCTCCTCATAGTCCAGCATAACACTGCATGCCATTGGGTCACCAATTAGTGTTGACTGTCTGATCAGCTCTAACTACCTTTAACGGTCAGATGGGATGGACTTCATGGTAGCATGCCTAAAACTTGTCTAAAACAGTCAGTCAAGTTCTGTATCCAGTTCTTTCTTAGTCTGCTCCTTCTCCTCCTCGCCCCTACTGAGGCCTGCAGTATTGTTTTTGAAAGGCTGTTAGATCTTATATTACATGTCCGTACCATTACATTTCCCACCTTTTCCCTGAAGTTGAAAGTAGTTTCTAGGTGCCAAAGTGCTGGATGATTAATGCAAATATTTGAATAACAACATTTGACAGATGACTGGGAGTTGGATAAAAGAATGTTCTGGGGTTGGGGGGCGGGGTGTAAAGGCCTAAGCCTTAAGTTCCTGATAATGGCGATGATGACCACGATGATGATGATGCTACCAATAAGATGTACAGTAAATAAATATATTATTTTTGAAACTATGTAACATGTAAACAGAAATACTTTAACAAAAAAAAAAAAAAGGAAAAATAAAAAGAAAGAACTCCTAAATATGGTTGTGGAGATAGTTAGCCATCTTACACGTTTTCTGGGGGAGGGGGGTGGGGGTGGGGGTGGTGGGATCCTCAGTGAGCCTGGACCCCCTAGGATCTAGCGCCCCTCTCTCCGTGAAAGCCAATATTGTGAGAAATCGCACACATTAAAATGAAAAACGATTCTCGTGTTAACATTGCTGGTATTGCTGTTTCTATTTGCCAGATAAACATGCACAAGATACAGATGTCCATCCTGCTCGCCTTCTTGTGTTTTCTCCTGGTCACTTTATCGCAGTCTGCTGCCGTTTCGGAGGCATCACGGTAAGAAAAATATATTGGGCAATGTTGTCATATTACCAGCTGCCACAGAGAGACACACTGAAGTAATATATGAACACAGCAAGGGGAAGACCACGCAAGAGATGGAGCGACAACACCAAGAGCAACCTAACAATAATAAACACCAACTTGTACAATGCATTGGAAAAGGGCACATACGATCTTTACACCTCCCTCCAACACCTCGTTGAGGTAAATAGTAGGAAAAAGAAGAAGAAGAAAAAGAAGAAAGTTATCCTGGTCTTAGAAGAGGCTGTGTGAAGAGATTAGAATTATCAAGCTATACCCACCATCACATTAATTGTGAATCAAAGATTTCAATGATTCAGCAAACATAATAGGAAAGAACCAAATGATGCTGTCAGTAAAAGCGGAGAACGTGAAAAGAGAAACACCAGGAGGAAGACAGAGACATAGAATATGATGGATTTAAGAAGTCGTTGACAGCCTAAAGCTTCACATCACAGCAAACTAAGCAACTGAGAGTCTCCTGGCTCGGCCATCTTTCATCCATTGAACTGCAACGCCGTCAAGTCCTATATACCAAAAAACCCCTATGTTGTAGAGTTGCTAAACTTCTCCCCAACAGATCCTTATGTTTCTATGTTGCAAAGTGGCTAAACTTTTCCCCAACAGATTCTTAGGCTTCTATGCTGTAGAGTGGCTAAGCTCCTCCCCAACAGATCCTTGGGCTTTTATGTTGTAGAGTGGCTAAGCTTCTCCCCAACAGATCCTTAGGCTTCTATGTTATAGACTGGCTAACCTTCTCCCCAACAGATCTTTAGGCTTCTATGTTGTAGAGTGGCTAAGCTCCTCCCCAACAGATCCTTAGGCTTCTATGTTATAGACTGGCTAACCTTCTCCACAACATATCTTTAGGCTTCTATGTTGTAGAGTGGCTAAGCTCCTCCCCAACAGATCCTTGGGCTTCTATGTTGTAGAGTGGCTAAGCTCCTCCCCAACAGATCTTTAGGCTTCTATGTTGTAGAGTGGCTAAGCTTCTCCCCATCATATCCTTAGGTTTCTATGTTGTAGAGTGGCTAAGCTTCTCCCCAACAGATCCTTAGCCTTCTATGTTGTAGAGTGGCTAAGCTTCTCCCCAACAGATCCTTAGCCTTCTATGTTGTAGAGTGGCTAAACTTCTCCCCAACAGATCCTTAGGTTTCTATGTTGTAGACTGGCTAACCCTCTCCCCAACAGATCCTTAGCCTTCTATGTTATAGATTCCACATACCCTTTTCAACCTTTAAGTTAGTTGCAGAACCAACCCCAGCACTGTTTGGCTGTTGTGGGTTTTATCTAGGCAAATTTTACGTATACTAGTTTGTCATTGCCACTGAACAGTCAGCTCAGCAGTTTTGTGCGGGCAAGGATTTGGACGCAGACTGCGTCAGGTCACACTTCTCTCTGTCTCTGTCTATGTCTGTCTATGTCTCTCTCTCTCTCTCTCTCTCTCTCTCTCTCTCTCTCTCTCTGTGTGTGTGTGTGTGTGTGTGTGTGTGTGTGTGTGGGTAGACTTCAGAACATGCCCTTCAAGAACGTCCCTTGTACAGCCCATTTAAAATTGAATGCTGGCTCTTTAGGTCAACTCTGTACTCAGAGTTATAATCAAATAAAAGGAACTCCTATAAACAGTCACGTTTATCACAAGAACTGGCTCTCCTGTCAAATCCGGACGAAGAATAAACAGCCGTGGACGAGTTAGTCAGAGTTCTCTCCCTTGGCCGCACTCCGAACAGTAATCGGAAAACAAACGAAATAAACGACACACTTACCTATCATCCTGCGGTTGCGTGTAGGGCTGCGTACGGTTTCGTGAGGCATTGTGAATGGTTGTGTAATCATCATCATGCGGTTGTTGGGTTACAGTTAAGGGTAGGGTTAGGGTTAGGGGTAGGGTTAGGGTTAGGGGTAGGGTTAGGGTTAGGGTTAGGGGTAGGGTTAGGGTTAGGGGTAGGGTTAGGGGTAGGGTTAGGGTTAGGGTTAGGGTTAGATGTTAAAATTTTGACGTAGGGTTTGGAAATAGTGGCCGACAATCTGATGTTTGTGGGCGTGGCGCCACTGGAATTCTGCTAAATATGACGCCAATAGTGTGCGGCTGGTGCCCAATCGTTGGCGAATTGTGCGTTTCACCAGCATCCAGAGGCCCTCGATTGTTTGTGTGTGTATGGGACTGTGCGCGATTATAGGGAACTCCGGCGTCAAAATTGTCAAATCTAACGCTACAGCTAACCCTACCGCTAACCCTAATCCTAATCCTACTCCCTAGCCCTACTCCCTAGCCCTAACCCCTACCCCTAACCACGCAAATTTATCGATCATTAAAGCATACAAATCGGCAAAAACCAACAAACACAACACACCCAAAAAAAAAACCTAGAATTGTCCTGCAGCGTCGAAAAAAAACCCCAGATCTGGGGGAAACAACCAAGCATTGGCAGCCCTGATGTCGACGTGACTGTCTTCTTTGTTTCGTTGGCTTTTCCGATCACTGTTCGCAGTGCGGCAAAGGGAGAGAACTCTGACTAAGTCGTCCAAGGCTTTTTAGTCTTCGTCCGGATTTGACAGGAGTACCCAAGAACTTGTCTGCCGGTGTAAATCAGAAAGCAGTTAGAAGAATAAGAAGAAGACGAAAAAGAAGAAGAAGACGACGACGACGAAAGACTATCTAGAGATGCACAGACGTGGTTAAAGGTTACCAGCGTGATTCATAACTCTGGATTTACCTAGTTCGATTCAAACCGCTGGCGATTTGGCAGCAGATGATGTTGATTTTCACAATGATATGGAGCACCGATCTGACAAGAAAACATTAGCACACTACTAAAAGTCAAATTTCGAAGTAAAACCACAAACAGTCAAAAGTCCTGTAAAGATTATGTAACTGACTTATCACCATTATTGTCGCTGTCTTCTTCATCTGATCAGTACAGTTTCTGCCAAGAAAGAAAGCAATAGCAAACGCCGCTCTCCAAGATGCCAAATAAAGTCACAAGTCTACAACTATGTATATGATACATAGGAAATAAAGAGTGAATGTGCTGAAATTTGCTGCAATATGGATTTATTACATCAAATTTACATAAATTTTGCAAAGCACGCCAACCTTTGCACCGAAATTGAGGAAGATCCTATTGAAGACGTTATTTAATATTACAATTTGAAAACAAAAAATGTTGCTAATAAATTATACTTCTTTGAAAAAGTGTTTTTCCCCCCTATCTGTAATGCGACATGCTGCTTTGTATCAGAATCTCCCGCCATAAAAGACAATCAGCAGACGTGAGACTAGCCGAATATCTGGCCTGGATTGCACTGAATGGAAGACGGCCTAATGATTGTCAAGAAGTCGCATGTGGCGTAGTTGATGTGGCTGCCAGGTCTGCAGACGTCTGTGTTGATTGTCCATTGTTTTGTGCACGACGTCTCAGATTGCGTATGTTTTGTATTTTACGTCACATCGTTGTGATGTAAACGCCACATGATTGTATTGTTTTTATGTGTGATACGTCATATCGTTGTCATGTAAACGCTACATGATTGTATTGATTCTGTGTGTGTTACGTCACAGTATTAAGACGTAAACGTCGTACATGTGTGTTTGTGATTTGGTCGGAGGTAATCTACCAAGAAATTCATTTTCAAGAATAGGATCTTGCCTAAACTGCGCCTTTCTTCTTCGCTGTCAACGATCAGCAATGCATCTATTCCAAGATGTGTCACAAACTGGATGCTGCGTTTGAGGTCTTCACCTGTTCGCCATAGTTTGTCCTACAGGGTCAATTTTGTGGGCCAGATTTCTTCCCTCTGACTGACAAAGTCTGGGCAATCCCGTAGGAAATCTTCTGGAAGGATCTTCTTCCGTTATCTCTCCAATTTCTCATTGCATAAATTGTTCAAGTTGCCACAGCATGTTCTAGTTTCTTTCTTCCTACAGTGTGTTAACAAATGTTGACTGACTCTTTCAGATGTTTGTGATAAACTGTCTTTGTGCCCAGTTTACATAGCAAACCTATTTTTTCAGGACTTCCTCTCCAGGATAAATGTCTAAACGTTTAATGCCACAGCGATCTAAAGGGCTATATTTCGGATGTTAGTCCAACACGAATATATGACATATGGCCAGTCCAGTCTTATAGAATGGCTGCAATGAGTCAGCTAACGTCTATCGAAAGTTTTACTTTTATGCACACTGTTTCTTCGGAAGTTTCTTCACTCTTTGAATAATTGTACATGTTATATATAGCAGATTTGTTCTCTTCTTCTTTTTCTTCTCTTCCTCGAAGCGTTTGGGTAGATATCAGGATCTCTCTGCGTGCTCTTTCTAATGTGTTGTATTAGCTTATCTTCATTTCTTCAAACCTGTTCCTGAAGCTATCTTTCCATATTTTACGTGATCGTCGCCTTACTCTATGTTAACCATCGTCTTCAGACCGATTTTCTGCTCACATTTATTGGACTTTCATATTACTTGTTTCGTCTTTGAAAGTAATGCCTGTTTTTTTCAGCTTTGTATAATGGTGTCCTTTTTTGTTTCTTATCATCGAAGAACACCTGTCTTTAATGTTCTGTTGGGCAAGTTGTTCTGTTTATGTTCGTCGTACCTTTCTCGGAGTTATATTAATTTGTTTATAAAGTACTTTGACTTCACAGAGTAAGAAGGTCGTCTGCCGACCAGAGAATAGCAGAATTGCAGGCCCTTCTTGCTTTGGCCGGAAGTCGCAGACGCAACGGAAATGCCGTTGCTCATGGACTGTTTGACCCGGACGTAATGTAGGTACAATGACAGAGGTCAAGTATTCGTCCTGTTGTCTGATGGACAGACACGGCAACCAGCGGAGGAATTGTCCAGAACGTCCCGCCATGTTTTTGGGGGGCGAAATCGTTTTCGACGCCTTGTTTTGGGCGATATGTTTTCGTTGAGTGTCACCTCCTCCTTGTGACTGGCAGGTTGCCTGTGTGGATCTATATCTGCGTCCATATGTGAATTTTGATGGTAAAATATTTCTAAAGAATGTGCTGTGCCAGGCGAACAGAAGTATCGTGTCCGAAATAAAGGGAGGTATCGCGGCCAGAATAAACATAATTATCACAAGTATAGACATAAGTATTCCCCGTGTGGGTTGAGGGATTCCATTTTAGGGGAAAACATGAATAGACCCACTGCCTTCCTAAGAAAGTATGTTTATAAAGTCTATTAATTAGGGTTTTCCTTTGAGGTCGGATGGCATCTGCGTGAGAGACGAGGAACAAAATCTCTGCATGAAAAAAAAAAAAAAAAAAAAAAAAAAATAGCAAGATCTGTAAAACGGACGTGCATGTAAAACCCAAGTTTTAGGACAAGAGTAAAGTGGAGAGGTGGACGAACAAACATAAATTTATGTCGGTGTTTACAACCGGTGAGCACAAACGAGAAGAGGAGGAGGAAAAGAAGAACAAAAATAAGAACAAGAAGAAAAAGAAGAAAAAGAAGAAGACAGATGTCAAGAATAGAAATAGAGTGTTTTTGCCTGCCACGCAGCGTATCTTTCGTAGCCTTGAACATGTGACAGCCCAACACTTCACATGCTAACAGTAGCCAAAAAGAAAAAAAGAAAAAAAAAAAAAAAAAAAAAAAAAAAAAAAAAAAAAAAAAAAAAAAAAAAATTTTTTTAAAAAAAAAAAAAAAAAAAAAAAAACATGGCTACCTTTCTACTTGTACAATGAATATTACTCACGTGTTAGCGAAGTTACCTGCATGAATCACCATAGGCGGTGTGGCACCAGAAGCAGACCTCACATTTAGTAAGATCAATTCACATCTCTTGGTGGTCATCCTAGAAACATTATCTATACCACTGGCCTGGTCAACGTAGGTGAGGATAGATATCACTATCTGGGGCCTGGTCAATGTAGGTGAGGATAGATATCACTTCCTGGGGTCTGGTCAGCGAAGGTGAGGATAGATATCCCTTCCTGGGGTCTGGTCAGCGAAGGTGAGGATATATATCATTACCTGGGGCCTGGCCAACATAGGTAGGATAGGATAGATATGACTACCTGGGGCCTGGTCAACATAGGTAGGATAGGATAGTTATGAATACCTGGGGCCTGGCCAACATAGGTAGGATAGGATAGATATGAATACCTGGGGCCTGGCCAACATAGGTAGGATAGGATAGATATGACAACCTGGGGCCTGGTCAACATAGGTTAGATAGGATAGATATCACTACCTGAGAGTTTACAGCTGGTTAACGCGAGAAGAGGAAGAAGGTATCAACTCTGGTATTATAAACATCTGGAGTTCACCCGCTTGTCCAGTTCGTGCACTGTGTTTCAGTACCCCCTACTTAATGCGAGGAGGATACTGGGCTTATGGAGATCTATACGTGGGTAATGACACTGGGCATATGAAGATCTATATGTGGGTAAAGACACTGGGTATATAAAGATCTATATGTGGGTAATGACATTGGACATATGAAGATCTATATGTGGGTAATGACACTGGACATATGAAGATCTATATGTGGGTACTGACACTGGGCATATGAAGATCTATATGTGGGTAAAGACACTGGGTATATAAAGATCTATATGTGGGTAATGACACTGGGCGTATGAAGATCTATATGTGGGTATGACACTGGGCATATGAAGATCTATATGTGGGTACTGACACTGGGCATATGAAGATCTATATGTGGGTCATTAGTGTTTTATTTCATTGTGGCTTAACTGCCCACGTGTTTCTGTGTAAGCTTCTGATTACTTCTCTTTGTGTTCTTAACTGAATCGTATGTTATTCCTTTTTATTTTTAACTTAACATCAGTGTTTAGCCATATGTGAGTCAATGAATTATGTTAATTTTCCTATTGTTCATGGCTGTGTTGTTCTGTGCAAAGTTTGATACAACCGAATCGTCTGACATTTGTTTTATTATTTAATTGCTTTTACTTGTTTTTTTTTTTTTTTTTTGTAATTATACAAGCGCACACTTTCACACACACACACACACACACACATAACATATATTTATAAATGATGCCTCAAAAATGTGGTTAAAACAAATTTTTTGTAATGTGTGCATATATATGTGTGGATGGGGTGGGGTGGGGTGGGGTGTGGTGGGGTATCCATGAGACCAGTACACAAAGACAACCTCAGAAATATACCCAATCAACCTCCACACACGAAGGCAACAGACCAGTGTATTTAGACTGTGTTCTGGACGTCACAGAATCTACAGCCACATACACTAGACATTCAAAATTCGGGATATTCTTGTCATCCCTTCGTCGTAGGATGCAATTTTTCGTTATTTGAAACCCTACTCTGGCTCTTGCCAGGGGCCGCAATATCTTCTTCTTCTGCCTCTCTATCCCCAAATGGAGCATTGGCCGTAATAAAGCCCGGCAATAAATATGGTCTAATGGCTGAGCGCGGTTTCTGTGACCTCTCCACGGGTGATCTTCATCCACATGGTGGCACTTTGTGTCATAGGGTGTTTATTGCTTCTGTGATGTCCTCGTGGGGTAAAAGTTACTTACTTATTAATTCGGGACTCATAACTTAGCCCGTGTGGAAACAACATCCTGGAATACTAAACATGTGGCACATATATGCTCTCTAATATGCGTTATATATATAATAAGTAAACAGACAATGTATTGATTGGCACTTATAGAAAGAAGTAGAGTTCCCCGCTGTAAACTCTAGCGGAAAGTTATGGTTGTTCGTCCACTTCTGGACTGCAGTCAGGTTTCAGAACCTGAATGTTGCGTGGGCATCCGTTTAACAGATTTGATGTATTTGTGTGCAGGCTTTTGGTTCCTCACCTCACAGGCAGATGCACTTCGACTTAGAAGGAAGCTCCCAATTAGTCGATTCTTACGACATGCTTTTGGGTAGGCAGTTGGTCTATTCTTGCGGTCCTTATAACAGGGCCCCGGATCTCACACGGGGATAAAAGGGAAGTGACCAGACAAGAGCACCATGCAGGAAACCAAAGAAAAAGAAACCAACACCGAACAGGTGTGGTCATCCGCCAGACGCTGCGGGAATTACCGAAGAGAGGGCCTGAACACTTAACTGCAATGAGGATTAGGTATCGACTAATAAACTAACAATGTGATTATGACCATTCGAAGAATTTGCGCAGAAGAAGAGGAAAAAGAAGAACCAGGGGCGAAAAAGAGGAAGAAGAAGAAGTAGTAGCAATGGAAGAAGAAAAAAAAATATAGGAAGAATCAATATAGAAGAAGAAGATTGTGTTTGTTTCCAAAGGGCACAACCTATAATTACCTGTCATGTACCACACATACACCACCGGCCGTTTAGTTGTTACTATGATTACATGTTCTGTTTATTCTCAAAGTGGGAAGAAAAAGAGAGATTTTCAGCCCGTGAACGTGTCGGATGAGGAGAGATACACCTTACTGAGGTACCTCATCCAGAAAGCTGCCCAGGAGAACAATTCGTTATAGGTAGGTCCCCTAATGGGTGGGTAGTGTCTATCTTCTTTTTGTGTTCGCTTTCTGATTTACACCGACAGATAGGTTCTTGTGATAAACTTGACTGTTTTTATAAGTTCATTTTTAGTCCCACAACTTTGTGTACAGTGGTGACTCACTGGGCCAGTATTCCTTTCTTAATGGGCTGAACAAGGGACAGTCTTGCAGGACATGTTCTGTAGTCTGCACACATAGCCCACAAGGGCAAAAAGGTGAACTACTTAGACGAAGCCTGTGCATATGCTGGTTAAGTTTGTTATGTCCTGTCCTGAGACGTAGGACAATGACCTGCCCATGCCGGCCAAGTAAGTGGTAGTCATCTCTGGCCAGACTCTGTTCACTTCTAATAGCCTGGATGGCCCTTTTCTTCTCATAGTATGTTACTGCATTCTCTTCCTGGTCACATTCTGCCCCCTTTTTAGCAAGTTTATCTGCGGTTTCGTTTCCTGGTATACCACAGTGAGATGGCACCCACTGGAGTACAGTACACTTTTGGGCAGCCACCTTGCCAAGTTCAGATCTCAAGTGAGGGAGTTTGCCACTCTTGAGGGCTTGAAGCACTGATAGCGCATCTGTGAATATGACCACTTGGTGGCAGTCAGAACTGGTGTTGTGTAACATTTCGGCGGCCTGCTCTAGTGCTACAATCTCTGCTGTGTAGTTGGAACAGAATTTACCACTGGGTATCCACTTTGTGTGGCGGTGGTTGCCTGGGTATGTAATAAAGACTCCGGCACCCCCATTTTTAACCGCACTGATTGCTGATCCATCTGTATAAACATGTATCTATGACTGTTCGGGATAGTTTTCATGAATCATACTAAGAGCAGCTGTTAGTTTTTGAAGATCATTGGACTCATCTCCAGTTCTGAATCCATTGACTGAAGTCATTATCTGCATTGTATCACTGACTTGCTCCCAAGGTACAGGGTATAGGGTAGGTTTCAGCGGTGTTGTTCTAATAGGTAGATCAGCTTGATTCTGTCTTCTAAGTCTTTTCCCCCGATGGACAAAGCTGCTACGTTTGAGACGCCCTAATGCCAGATCATCTAACCTTTCATTCATTGGGTGTGACTGCATACTATTAAACTTCTCCATCTGGATCATAGTTTTAGTGTCTCTTCTATAGGACAGCGTCCGCATTGCAGTTATTTTCTGCATCTTCAGGATTGGTGCAGTTTTCATGGATCCTGTGATGAGTCTAAGAGCTTGATTCTGCACTCTGTCTAATGATTGTAGATGGGAATTAGCAGCTGTTGACCATGCTGTTGCACCGAACTCCAAGTGGGGTCTTATCGTTCCATTATAAACTTTCTTTAGGGTTTTTCCATTCGCTCCCCATCCTGTTCCTGCCAGTTTTCTAAGTAGGCCTAGTCGTCTCCTGGCCTTCCCTTCTACATTTCTATATGTTTGCTCCATGTGAGCCTTTTATCAAATGTTACTCCAAGATAAGTGGGGAAGCTTTCTTCCTTTAGCAAGGATGTCCCTAGGTGAATTCTAGCAGCTTTGTCCCTGGGGGAAAGAGAGAAAAGCGTTGTGAATGTTTTGTCTGTGTTGATAGCAACATGCCACTTTTCTGCCCATGTCATCAAGAGATCTGCTGCTCGCTGCATTCTTAGATTTGCCACTGTGGTGTGTTCATCGGTACACCAGAGTGCCATATCATCTGCATACAGGCAGCTTTTACTCCTGTAGGGAGGTCTTTCACCAGATCATTTATATACACAAGAAAGAGAGTTGGAGAGATAACTCCTCCCTGTGGTACTCCTTGCCGAAATAACACTTTTCTACTCTGCTGGCCATCAAGACTGACTCTAGTTCTCCTGCTGTGTAAGAAGGATTGGATCCATTTTAGCATGTTTCCTTGGATTCCATTTCTCTTCAGTTTTGCAATGAGACCATCTTTCCAGACTTTGTCAAAAGCTTGTTTGAAGTCAACCCATACCGCCAGGACCCTTTTCTTCTCTTGGAAGGCATCATCTACAGCTTGTGACAGGTAGGTGACTTGGTCTTCTATGCTGTGACACTCCCTAAACCCAGCCTGCTCTGGCACCAAGATCTGCTCAGATTCTAAGTGCCATTTCAGTCTTGAATTTACAATTCTTTCCAATGTCTTTCCTACACAGCTTGTGAGACTAATTGGGATATAGCTCGAAATCTGGGTCTTAATTTTTCCTTTTTTTAAAATGGGTATTGTGATGGCTTCTCTCCATACTTGAGGCACCATACCTTTTCCCCAGCTGATGTTGAAAATTTCCAGCAGCTTTACTTTAGCAGATGAGCTCAGGTTGATTAGCATTTCGTTGCTGATTTCATCTGGACCTGCAGACTTTTTTAACTTAAGCCTAAATATGGCATTTTGTAGTTCACCTATGGTAAATGGCTCCCTCATAGAGGCAGGAGTATCTGTCTGTCTCTTATTTGTTTGTATTTCTTTCCTTATTTCTCTCTGATGGTCCTCATTAAGGGTCAGGTTGCTTTCAACACTGTATGTTCTGGCAAACAAATCTGCAGCTTGTTTTCCTCTGAAGATTTTGTCACCATCACTTAGTGTGATTGTTTGTCTAGGAGAGAAACTCTCTTCATTGAGTGATTTGGCTAATCTCCAGAGTTTCTTGCCATCTTTATCAAGGTTTAGAGCTGCTGTTTTATTTCTCCAGCTTTTCCGTTTTTCTTCAAGTTTAGTTCTCTGGAACACTGCTACAGCCTTTTTCCATTTGGTTTGATTGTCAGGTGAAGGTTGGGATTCTGCATCCTTTCTAGCCTGATTCATTGTTTTCTGGCATTCCTGGAGTGTGCTGGACCAGTACGGTCTGTAGTTGTGACGACAGCCACTGGGGATTTGCTTCTTTTGCAGCTTGTAGAATACTTCTATTGAAATCGTGCACTAAAGCATTGATATCCCTATTTTGTACCTTGAGTACAGACAACAGTGTGCTTGTTCTGTGTCTGTACAGGCCCCAGTTGGCTTTCTTGTAGTTCCATCTTGTGATGACTGGGCCTGTATTAACTGGTACATTCTGGACAGTGAGAAAAATCGGGGGATGGTCACAGCCACCCAGCTGGTCTCCCACCTCTCTACTTATCATTCCAGATATATCTGGGGTAGAGAAGGCAAGATCTGGGGTTGACGTTGTCTGCCGCCTTCTGGAGTAGAAGGTTGGAGTATCTGAGGGGGCATTGATCAGGATCAGAGAGTGGTCATCTTACCATGTTTCCAACTCTTCACCCCTATTGTCGAGATGGTTTTAGCCCCAGCTCTATGAATGACTGTTGAAGTCTCCAACTGCAATAAAGTTGGTGTTTGATACTGGCACAGAGCTGAGGTTTAGCGATTTGTCATTGGGACAGTAGTAATTAAGGTATAATTCCACTTTGTCTGTCTTAAGCTGCAGGAGTTGGTACTCAGCTCCATCCATATAAGACATTTTCTTACATGGATGGATACTATTTTTTTACAAGGGTAAGTACTCCTCCTTTTCGCCTGCCTTGTCTATCGGATCTAAAGCACTGGTAGCCTCTCATTTTAACTATCTGATCTGCATGCAAATGGGTCTCTTGGATGCAACATACACTGACATGCTTTTCATAGAGGATGTTTTCCAGCTCCAACTTTTTGCTGTAGCCAGCCTGCTTACTGCTGACCCCCTCTGCATTCCAGTGCATTATTACAAAAGACAATTTGGGATCTTTTCTGTCGAGGCGGTCCTCCATTAGTTGGGGGTGGATTCTGTCGAGGCTCAGAACCCGGCATGCACCTGCCTGGTGGAGCTCCACAGTTCGAGCACCAAGATTAAATTTGTCCGACGGTGTAATCATATATATATAGCGTAGGGTTGCGTAGTACTGTGGTTTTTGATCCGCCTTCTGGCCCAGTATTTCCGACTTCAGGATCTTTTGAGAGGGAGAGTAGGCTCATCCCTTCGCCTTTACCTCGTTTGTTGTCCCATCCAGTTTCCCGCTGGGGGTTGAGACCCCAACCTTCAACTGGATTGCTGGGAAGAACAGGGTCCACCACGTGAATGTGAGGTAGGCTTGAGCAAGAGAGGCTAATAGACATTAAGAGTCTTGTATTGCGCATCATTGCTCCATTTGGACCCCGGTGACTATCCCAGTTTATTGATGTTAGCATATCAATATATGCGGAGTCCGTGGCTTAGGCATTGCGAGCCCGACTCTTAATTCCAACGTACAGCGATCGAAACCCACTGCTGACTGCGTGGATTTTTATCATGGTATGGGGCGTCGCAGGTCGACCCAGCCTAAACTGGGTAATAGGGTGTATGTCCTGGGGAAGTAAAGACAGCCGGCGTAATTCTGACCACATTACCCACCTAGTGCCGATTGGTCTGCGAAAATTATAGGTGCTCTTCCCATATGCCCAATGCGCATAAAGGCATGAAAAGAGATCTTTACTTATATATTAATACATGGCTGTGAATCCTGACCAGTTAAAAAAAAAAAAAAGAGGAAGATTCTTTAAATGAAAATAAAAAGAGTCATCCAGATGGTACGGAAGAAGTGAGGGCTCGATGACAGCTTTTCACAAACATCAGAAAGAGACAGTCATCATTTTGTGGTCGTTTTATGAAAATATGGAAACTAGAACATGTTGTGAAAAGATTCTTGACAGTCTTTTGTCATGGCATGGAGGGATGTCTACATTCGAACTGATAATTCTGTTGAAGATAGCAGATTGTGGAGAGAAATGATCGCCCACGCCAGTCAGCAAAGCACTGAAGATGATGATAATGTTGAAGTCTGTCTGTTTGTTTTGCCCATCTACGGATACATCTGATTTGGTGGCTTCTTTGTCTGCTTGTCTAAACATTTTACCCATTCGTGGAAGGTTCTTACAGGTCTCTTGCAGGAGGTCGCGAAGAAGCTCGCTACCGACAAGCAGAAGAAGAAAAAGAAGCAGAAGAAGAAGAATATATAATAAAAAGGTAGTGTTGGCAGCAGCCGCCATAGTA